CGTGTGCAGCCTGGTACCTGCGAGGGTCCGCGCGTGGAGCGGGAGCCCGTCCCCGGCACGAGCGAGGTTTGGCAGGGCTCCTGCCTGTGTTGAGCTAACCTGTAATTATGTATTTCAGTGGGCAAGACGGTGACAAATTGCTGTGCTTCCTTCCTACCTTTGTTTTTAAGTCTTACAGCCAACCCTGTTCTAATTTTCTCGCATCTAAACTGGTTCACAAAGAAACTTTAAAGAAGTCTAAATAGGGTTTTTGTGCATAACTGTAAATGATTACCTTTAAGGTGCATTCTCATCTTAGCTCAGGGTGTTGGGGCCTTTTCATTCTAAAGGGTTTGTTCTTTGATCTACTGTTTTAAGTCCCTAGTGTTCTGTGCTGGTCATAACTGAGACAGAGACAGAAGTGGACAGAGAACTCCTTAACAGGGTTTTTTTAAGCCTTTGCTTTGAGAACAAACAAGCACTTTGATAATATGGAGAATTTTTCGGTTCTCATTTGTTGTTCAGTGACAGAAACATGTATCAATTAAAATACGGGTAGCTCACCCGGCCGGCATGGCTCAGCAGTTGAGCATTGACCTAGGATCCAAGAAACTAGGTCCAGGAAATCTCAATAGACTTCTGGTCAGGGCATTCACCGGGGTTGCCGGCTTGATCCCCAATAGGGGGCGTGCAGGAGGCAGCCAGTCAATGACTCTCCCTCTCCCTTCCTCTCTCTGAAATCAATAAAGATATACTTAAAAAATAATAATAATAAAGTAAAATAAAATAAAATGCAGGTAGCTCTGGTAAGACATTTGTCACCTACTTTTTGCATATTTTTATTTTTTTAGTTTAGTTTCTGAAATACAAAAATCGTAAAATATGATTAAAATATTGCAAACTATTCCTTAGTTGAACCAGCCTGTAAGGAGTCTTGAAAATTGTCTCTGGAACTTGGAAGGTTACTTCTGAAAGTGAAATGTCAAATCCATACCAAGTGACGTGATTAACTCAACTGTTAGCTAAATAAGATTATCTTAAAAGTGTTGGACATTATTCAGGTCCAGGCCGGAAAAACTAGGCCTGAGACAAGGCAGATACCGCTAAAAGTGAAAGACGGCTGTAGCCCAAAACACAAGGGAGGCAAGAGAAGGGAGGGATCTCTGGGGACCTAGGCAGAGGGTCCCAAGAGCCAAACTGCCAGCAAGGCTGCCTACATGCCAGCTCTGACTGGGAGTGTCTACTTGGGGACTTGTTAGAAATGCAGTCAGCCCCAGCCCAGGCCCGTTGGGTCAGAAGCTCTGGGCACGAGGCCCAGTGTCCTGTCAGCACAGCCCCAAAGTTGGAGGGTCACTGTTCTCAGGGACACCCTGCACGATACCTGCAAGAAAGGGCCTGTGGCCAAGGAGACAGGGATTGTGACAGTGGCTCCCCCTCGTGGATGACACTGCTAGAAAATTCCTCAGCAAAGGAATCCGTTAACTCTGACCCTTTGCTGTGTCATTAACCACAGGTCCCTTTTTGTGCCTCGTTTCAGCACACTCCCTGTGGGATGCATTGGCAAGAACCGCCCTGGCCCACACCCTCGCCCTCACCGTGGAGTCAGTGGCAGCCCCTCTGCTCCATGCTGAGCTCCCCGTCACCCCATGGTCCAGCCTGTTAAAATACAAAGTTCAACACAGTAAATGTGAAGATCTAATTGACTTTATTAGGCATTTGATGGATCAGGTAGCATCCCATCTAGCAACTAGAAGGTCTCTCAGAGGGGATGTCCAGAATGGGAGGTTTCATCAGCAGAAGGGTGGGCTGAGAAGTTAAGAGTGGATTATTTCAGACACATTCCCCAGGGGAAGGCAGGGGCCTTAGCAGGCAGATGACTCCACTAGTGGGTCAGGAAGTTCCAGACTGGATGAAAACTCTGCTCCTGGGAGGGGCTGGAACTATGGCTAGGTTGGGTGTTAAGGGTTCGGTGTCATGGGCTTCTAGTTGCTAGATGGGATGCTACCCGATCCATCAAACGCTTAATAAAGCCAAGAGTTTGACACCATTTGGGGCCTGTGGTTTTCTCTTTGACATGTCTAAGTGGAGTCTTCACTTAGTTGTCACCACTTTGGTCCCAATCAGTCACTTGTGAGTTGGGCTGTCCAGTCAGCCTCCCAGGGCATGCACACCTGAAACTGGAGAGTGTCCAGCCAGCTTTCCCTACCCACCTCCCTCCTCCCAGTCTCTACACCTGAGTGTCTTCTAGAAAGTGGATGGTCGTGTTATAGGCTCTGCTTCCTGGCTTGAGAGTGCCTTGGGGTGGCGGGTGGGGGTCACTGAGTTAGATGAGCATCTGCTCCCCCTGCTGTCCCCCCACCGTCGCCTTCTAACTGGCCTCCATTTGCTTAGAGGGAGCAGAACACCCAGAGGGTGATCTGCAGGGGATGGGGCTCCTCCCAGGCAGGGCAGGGCCTGTAGTCACAGCTTAGGCACCTTCGTTACCCTAGATTTGAATTGAACTTGAAGTCTTCACTGCCATTTTCAAGATTTTGACAATAAATGTTTTTCCAATAAGAGGGTGACTGAGCACTGTCTCCTGGGAGCTCATGCCCACCTTTCTTCCCTCAGGCAGCATCTCCTAGTCTAAGAGTCCCATGGGACTTTCAACCAGGGATCAGTGGGCAGTGGTAGCTCCTTCCAGGCTCACCCCTTGAACCTGTCTCCAAGGCCCCCTTTTCTCTGACTCCCCAGTGAGCCAAGCAGCCCTGCCTAGGCTCTCCTGTTGCCTCTTCTGTCCTAAGCACGTCCTTGTTTCACTGTCCCAGCTTTAATAAATGTACTCACACAAAAAATAATAATAAGATAGCTTGACAAACAAAAGGTCTACTGTTGGGTGTAGCCAGTGTCACTCCTGTGTTTACATAGGTCTGGCCCAGGCCTGTCACTTCTGAGGACTCACTGAACAAAGTCCGCTGTGTTCCTGGAAATCTTTAGCCTGGGGCTGTGGTCTTAGCTCCACTGGTCTACTCCTCCTGTGACTGAGAGTGAGACACCTGTGCCTAGGGCAGCACCCCACCCCAGATATCTCTGCAAAGACTGATCAGCACAGGAGTATCCTTGGTATCTGTTCTCACCTGGAGGGGGGGCGGGGGAGGTTTTCTGTAACTGGCACTGGAATTGTGGAGAAGAGATTGGAAGGGGAGCTGAGACCTGGCAGGCAGTCACCACCACCCACACCTTGTCTTCCCCGTCTGCTACCATGAGGCTGTCACCCACTGATCATTGCACAGCCTAGAGAGGCTGGGTGACTCCTCCCTGTGTCTGCAGAGGACAGGATGGAGGCACTCCGTCTTGCTGCCGCGTGGTATTGGCTCTCAGTCCTGCCTCCCTCTGAGCTCTTCATCACCTGGTCTGGACTTCTGTGTGGCAAGGCTGCAGCCTTCTTGGTGATGAACTGGGGCACTCGGTGTTCCCCACGGACCCAGTGTCTGTTCACCTGAAGAAGGAATGGGGGCCTGGAGGAGGATGGGTGCTGATGGCCGCGGGAATGACCTGCAGGAGTGTGGCTGGATGGAGAGCCCCAGGAGGACTGTGGGAGCTCACCTGGACTCTGGAGGGGCTCACAGAGGCTGGAAGGGCAGGTGAGAGGCAGGCAGTAGCAGCAGTCTCCTGCTGTGAGCCCGGATGTGCCTGTGAGACCTGGCTTCATTACAACTGTGTCTAGAGGAGCTCCACCTCTTCGAGAAACAGCCCATGAGTGGAAGAAGCCAGGTCATCAATGCTGCTGGCCCTGCCTCAGCTCTGAAGATGTGCGGACTTGTTCTCGAAAGCTTTTTCCATCTCACAGCATTGTGATGCTTCAGCACTTAACCAGCAAGACATGATTCGTGTCCCTGGAGTCACCCCGGAGTGCCTGCTCGCTGGGACCCCAAGCAGCCTGAGTTTAACCTCGCTGGGCCGAAAGCTGGGGACAGCGGACCAGTCCCAGCCCTGGGCCCCGGGGGGCTCAGAAAGCATGCCTGGACTCTGAGTGGGAGCTTCTACATAATCTGTGCTGTTCCCTCCTAGTCTGGGAGCTGAATGTGTTACCCATCTGTGTTGTGGCTTGAACTTGGAGCTTAGCCCAGACAGGACCTGCACCAGGTGAGAGCACACTGCCCTCCTGTGGCTGGACCATGGGATTAGGAACCCCCACATCACCCTAACTTTGCACAAGGATGGAGAAGCCAGAACTAGGCTCTGTGCCTTGAACACAACAGTCCTGTGTGTTCTCTTAAACCTGGGAGGTTGATAAGTTGTCCAGTCATCGTCTAGAACTAACTGGTGTTTGACCAGAAATCAGACTTTCACAGACTTTTCATTAGAACCTGACAAGTAATAGTAAAAGGTTTAATCCTGTTAGGTTAAGTAATTGGTTATTTGGCAAGTAAACTTGAACTACATTTTAGTCTACTGTATCTGGAAGCTTAATTACATCGAAAGTATTTTTTTAAGCCTGTGGTACTAAAAATAGGCTTGTGAGTGGAGGTGAGAAGTAGGCTGTGGCCACTGTGCCCCTGGCGGGCAGCCTTGAAGCCTCCCACTGGCACCCTGTGTGGCCGGGGTGGCCTGAAGTGTGAAAGCAGACGATGTGCTTTCAGTTCAGAGTGGGTGTCTCCTTTGTGTGGGGGGATCCAGACAGGTGGGATGGGCAGGAGGAGGGGAGGGTCCCCATTGAATGGGGCAAATACCCTGAAGCAGACCTTTGAAATGGCTGCATTTTACTTGGGAATGGAGAGTGTCTCTCTTTTGTGTTCCCTGAATGCCGTCCATCTGCCCGAGACTTGCAGGGACTGTAACTGAAATCCTCCCTGTCTGGGTTTGGTGGCTTCACACAGACAGGCCTTCTTTCAAAGACAGACAAAGGCCTGGTGAGGGTCAGCCTGCCCCTCCACCAGGACAGCAGCCCAGTTCCGGGGGACGGGTGTATGTGGAGTGGAGGTTACAAATGGACTTGTGGATTCTCAGGGGTCCTAGAAGCCAGGCAGGCCATGGCCCCCCGCACCATCCTGTCCCCGCCAGTGTGCTCCAGCGAGCTCCCTGTGAGATCAGATGTCTGCTCTGCAGTAATTCATGGACTGTGTCCCAAGTGCTCCCCTACAGTACGCACTGTGGCAGGTGCAGAAAGCAGTGACCAGTGGGCATGCCTCAGTGACACCACTGCCCAGGGGGAGGACATACCATGACAGAAAACAGAGTGAACAGATTGGTTGGCTGCAGGTGATAAGTCCTGGGAAATAAATAGAGTGATGGGGTTCGCATAGGGCTGTGAAGGAAAGCCTTGGAGGAGGCATTTGAGAGTCCAAAGATGAGGTGTAGCAGCTGAGTGTGGGATACCATGTTGAGGGGATGGCACATGCAACGGCCCCAGGACAGGCAGGACTAGGACTGCTGTGTCCAGAGAACTGAAAGGGGCCAGAGTGGTCAAGTAGGGGTTCCCATTGACCAGGCAGCAGGTGGGAGCAGCAGCTCCAGGCTCATAGGCCTATAGACAGACTTCTTCCTGAGCTACGAGAGGAAGAGTGGGCACAAGAGGGTGTCCAGTGACCTGGCCTCTGGCTGCTCCCTGGAGAACTAAAGGCCACAGTTGGAACATGTGAGAGACTTCGAGGGCTTTATGCCAAGTTTGTCTCAGCCGGGCTGTTTTGTTCACGGCCTCATGTCCCCCCAGCCCCGACCAGGCCATCGGCCGGTTCATTCTGCTTTTGTGTATTTTGTGTTGTCCGAGTAGGGACTTTGGCTTTTGAGAGTCATGCCCCAGGGTTTCCTTTATCAGAGGCGTCAGCTGGAGGTTTCCCACTGCCTTCTGAGGGAATGCTATTGCACGGGACTGGGTGCGCAGCTGGTTGCACACCTGCGGGGAGACGAGGTTCTCCTGTTTCACTCCAGCCCTGTGCCCTGCTTCAGAGGGCAGGGTCTGCCTGCTGGGTGCCCGGAGGTAGCAGAGCTTTGGAGGCTGAAAACCCAGGTGGTGATGGTGACTGCGTCTGCATGGCGCTGCTTTCCCTCTGCAGTCTGGGTTCTCTGCAGCCAGACTGTGTCATCCCCCCCTCACCACCACCCTGCATCCCTCTGCCCCTCCCTGGGAAGGCAGCTGGGCCCTCTGGGCCGATGGACAGAGGGTGGGGAGGCAGAGAATCAGTCTCTTTGGTTGCATTTCAGGAGGGATGCCTGAGACAGCCAAGTAGAGATGGCAAGTAGGCAGGTGGCACGAACAGTCTGGGCTGAGGTGGGGCCTAGAGGAAAGGTAAGGGAGCCACATGCAATNCACCCTGCATCCCTCTGCCCCTCCCTGGGAAGGCAGCTGGGCCCTCTGGGCCGATGGACAGAGGGTGGGGAGGCAGAGAATCAGTCTCTTTGGTTGCATTTCAGGAGGGATGCCTGAGACAGCCAAGTAGAGATGGCAAGTAGGCGGGTGGCACGAACAGTCTGGGCTGAGGTGGGGCCTAGAGGAAAGGTAAGGGGTCAGCCACCCTTCCCCCCCGCCCTCCTCCTGGGAATTGGATGAGGAAAAGGCCTCTGCTCTGCAGTGATCCATGCCCCGGTCCTCCAAAATCTGCACAGCTGGAGAGTGGGGTTACGATGTTCACATTAGGGTGTTCTGTGTGCCCAGAGCCAGGGGCCCACCCATGCTGAGCCTCCCGTTCTGGAACGGACTCTTCTGTACCCTGGCTTCTGCATTTGGGGGACGAAGTTGTAGAACGACGGCCATTCCTACCAGGCAGGTGCTGTGTACAACTTGGGAGGGTTACTGAGGCACCGACACCACTCTCACGTCAGATTTGTCTGGCAGCATTTCAGCCCCAGGGTTGGGACACGCACACCTCTCTAGGTGTCATTTGGAGTCTCGCTCTGGGAAAATTCCAGGGTAGCAGCTGATACATGGGGGAGCAGATGCACACTCATGGGGCGTGGTCCCCACAAGCACCCTGCAGTGTTTGTCTGACTTTCCGACTCTGGGCCAGCCTGACACTTCCCGCGATTGTGCTGTGTGCACGGAATTACCCGTTTTTATTTGCTTACTCTCTGAGTGGTGCAGTGTTTTAAGCGTGGCATGAAAGTGTGTCATGGAAATTCCCAGTAAACAGTGAATCCCTGGGTTGTGAGCCGGGAGGTAGCACCCATGGGGGTTTTGTGACACGCGTGGGGTGAGCAGCAGAGATAACAGGCTTGGACAGGGCCCGCATCCAGAGTGTCTGGAGGAAGGTGCGGGGACGTTGCTCAGCGCTGGGCCATCTGCTGTGCTGTTGGCACCAGGGTATTAACTGTCCTTCCTCTGGCCCATGTAATTTGAGCCTCCAGGAGGATGTGACCGGGGATTCTGGAGGGTCTGTAACATTTCTTTTCCATCCATTTAAAATGTTCTCAGGACATGGATTGGTTTTACCGAGGCTCATAATATTCGGTCATTGGTCGTGGAAAGCATAGCTTTATGTTCTTGTTACTTGACCCTTTGCCTTATATAATGTTGGTTAATTTTTTTTATAATTATGGAAGAAAAAGTATGCCTGTTTAAACAGAAATGGTACAGTAGGTGAAAGATAGCAGTTATTGAATTGGTAGTGTGTGCAGCAAGCCTCTGCGTTTGTGTGGTGTTAGGGACTGGTTAGTATCCTCTCTCCTTCAGGCGTGTTTTTCACGGAACCTCTGAAGTTTGAGACCATAGTGGAGCTCAGAGGAAACTCAGCTGGTTTTTAACCACTGGTCTGGTTTAGACCAATGCATGCTCTGGCAACACAAGGCAACATCGTCGGTTTCCCAGGGACAAGCAGTGGTGAGACCCACTCAAAAGTCACAGCTGTGACTCACGGCAGAAGGCGAGTAGGACTCACCTGGCCTGGGGATGACCTGGTCCCCACTGTGTGCTCTGCAGAGGCCACCACCTGGCGCGTGGGTCCTGCTTCCTCAGGCTGTCCTGGCAGGCCAGGGAGCATTCAGGAGGGAGGTGTAATCAATCCTAACATCCTAGAGGCAGGGAACCAACCTTGTGAAGGGAAAACCTCATGAGTCTCCTTTGGAGGATGTTCGGAACCGTTCCTTTGAAACAGGTGACTAAAGGGATGAGCCGGCACTTAACTCCCAAGTGAGCTGCGTTCAGGGTCGCCATGAGCATAGATTCCGAACACAGGAGCTTCCCGCCTGTAAGTGAAGCCGGAGGAGGGAGACACCCCACCTGGCTGCAGCCCTCAGGAATTAATGCATTCAGGGTGGTCAGTCAGAAGGGAGGCAGACAGGGGTCACCCACGTCCTGGTGGGAGCATGCACTCTGCCTGGGAAGTCATCTCCCCAGAAGAATCGGACACAGTCTGACATAGGTACGCAAGTTTACAGAAAATTGGGGGGCCAGGTATAGTCAGCAGAGCCCAGCTGGTGGGAGACTACAGTGCACAGGACCCTGTCCTCCCATGAGCAGTGCAGGCTTGGGGGCAGGAGATGGTGGACACATCCACCAGTTGCAATGGACAGCTTCATTTGTACCCAATTCAAACAATTTAAACAAAAACAACACAATTAGGGAGCTTTGAATCCTGCCTGGATACCTGCTGGTGGAGCATGTAGACGACTTGCCATGATGGCAGCAGTGCTAAGGCTGGGTGGAGAGCCCTGTCCTTCAGAGGTGCAGCTCTGGGCATAGCCAAGTGACTGCTGGCCGGGGGATGGTTCTGGAAGTGGGTGGGCATTCTGATGGACAACACGGCAGCTGGTCATCGTTGGCACTGACGGGGGCAACGGAGTGGTTACTCTGGCACTGACGGGGGCAACGGAGTGTTATCTCTGTTTCATTCAGATGTTGAGAATTTTCCTAAATAAAAACTTCAACCCTGGCCAGGTGGCTCAGCTGGTTGGAGTGTCGTCCTGTACACCGAAAGGTTGCAGGTTCGATTCCCCGCCAGGGCACACACCCAGGGTGCAGGTTCCCTCGCTGTTCGGGTGAGTACAGGAGGCAGCCAGTGTTTCTCTCACATCAGTGCTTCTCTCTTTCCCTTCCTCTCTCTCTGAAAGCAATACACATATCTTTGGGTGGGGATTTTAAAAAACACTTTAAAGATAGGAAAAATGTATATGTAATTAAAACTGCTCCTTTTTTACTCCCAGGAAGGTGACAGTGTTCACGGGATTGTGGGGGGCATCTTGGGAAAAGTACTGGGAACCACTTCATAGGTGTTGTAACACCAGGGTGCTGACTCATTGCTGTGGGCACTAGACCGTCCTAGAGAAGCAGCCTGGGCTGCGGGCGGCTGGTACCAGCTCGGTCCCTTATGGGGGAGACTGCAGCCAGCGCTGAGGCTGCAGCGTGACTGCAGTTCAGCAAGTCCAGTTTGCCATTGGCACCAGTAGGGAGACAGGGTCCAGGTTTGTACCTCTTCCCAGCTGTACAGAAGGGCCAGGGGAGGGGCCAGCCAGCCTAGCACTGCCATGCTGAAGGTCTCCCCCCTGCTTTTCAGACTGGGCCTCCGCCATCCGAGTGGCTGCCCTAGACTGTGCGGAGGAGAGGAACCACGAGGTGTGCCAGGCCTACAACATCCACTTCTACCCCAGCTTCCGCGTGAGTGCCCTTCGCCCTCCATCCTCACGCGGCTCCCACCTGGACCCCTCCCATCTAAGTTGGAGTCACGGAGGCGCTTCCTCCATCTTCCTTATTTGGGGTGCTTCTGCAAACATGGGAATTTCTGTTTGCAGAGGGTCCCTCTTCTTCTGTTCCACCCTGTGGCGTTGGACACATCATTGTGGGGCCTGCACCCTGTGGGTGGGGGTGGTCAGGACTGTTGTTAGAGTCTGGTCTGGGGTCTCTCTGCCCCATGCTTCCCCCAACCCCACATGTGGCCTACATGAGGCAGCCCCTCTGTGTACCATGGGTACTGACCTGTCCGGTTGCCCACAAGACTCCCTGATATGTGCCCAGCCTGGCTGTCCTGAGCACATCATGTGGGCCAACAGACAGGTTTGTGTCCGTCTCTCCCACTAGGGGGCAGAAGGTTAACGAGTCTGGAAGGCGGAGAACCATGTACATGGTGTGTGCGTGCGTGTGCGTGTGCTCTGTCACAGGGCTGCACATGAGCATATGGCAGTAAGGAGGCTTCGTGACCCCTCCCCTTTCAGCCCTAAAGCCCTATGCTCTGTGTGGCTGCGTCCAGAGTGCTTCCCCTGCCTGCCCTGTTCATGGAGCCTCACCCCCTGCTCCCTGCCCAGCCCTCCTCAAGCCCTGTGCCTGTCCTCTGGCTCCTGTCTGAGTCTGGCCCCCTGGAATATGTGCTCCTGTGTGGTCGTGTTCACTGTGCACATGGGGCCTCTATCTTACTTGATAGGTTGCTGAGAGTCACCACACTGTCACAGGAGCACTCTTCACCATCCCCTCCATGACTGCCACTTGGCTATTCAGGTTTTGGCTGCTGTGCAGACGCTCACTCGTGTCCCCTGTTGTGTGGGCAAGAGTCCCTCTGGGCACAGGCCTGGGAATGTGTCCCTGGGCAAGGGCTGCACCAACACATTCCCCGCTGACCAGGGGCAGTGACCCTATCTGTTTGTGGCCCTCGTGTCACCCCATCTGTGACACATCTGTTCACTTGTTTTACCCATTTCCTGTTGGGTCATTTGTCCATTTCTGACTCGTCGCCAGAAGCCCCTTGTATGTCCACAATGCTCAGCTGCTCTCAGTCGTGTGTCAGCAGCACTTGGCCTCATAACTGTCTTTAGTGTGTGTTTTCATGAAGAGGGTTTTAACTTTAATGTAAAATTCTTCCTTCTGCTCAGAGACCCTTCTCTGTGTCTGTCATCCCCCCCAGAACCCTTTGTGTTGTTAGAGTGAAACCACTAGGGCACACATTCCACACCAGGGCCAGGAGAGGCGCTGTCTGCATGGTTCTCGCCCTGTTGGGTGAGAACATGTAAGTAACAGAGTTCTGATGGATGCTTACCACCCCCCTGTAAGCTTGGCAGGAAGCCCAGTGTCCACAGAGACACAGCCTTGGGCTTCTCACCTGGGTCCTCGAGGGTCCATGCAGACTTTCTGGAGGGAGGTGACCTTGAGATACCTGTGTGCTCATTTGCCACTTAAAGATCAAACACTGACACACACCCCAGGCAAGGCTACTGCTGATTGTTCTGTGTCTTTCCTCTTAGTATTTCAAAGCATTCACAAAGGACTTTACAACTGGAGAGGATTTTAAAGGTAAGGACATAAGCAATGTATCAAACTGGCCTGATGGGCCTGTCCCCAGCCCACCTCACACACTGCTACCAGCCCCCCTGTCCCGTCACCTGTAAGAACTCAGACTTGCACAGTCTCAGCAGGAAGTTTGTATTTTGTGCTCTGTCGTCCTTGGCAAACACAGTGGTGACATTTTTTTAAAAGTAAACATTTAATCAAAAAGATATGGAGAAGTGCACACCAGGTGAATTTTTATGGTGGGCCCACCCAGTAGCCAGCGCCCAGATCAGGCCCCAGAACATGACCAGTCAGCCTACAGGTGACCGAGTTCTAATCAGACCGTCCTGCCTGGTGGGAACCTGGTATGGGTGGAATTGGACGTGTACACCTGTGTCTCCACCCAGTGGTGAGATGCATCCCTGTTCCCACCTGTTCTCACGCAGGTCACTGTGCAGCCTCCTGCTGTGTGACTCCACCCCTGTCTGTACCAGCTGGGGGAGGGGACCCCCACTGGGTCCCTGGAGTGGGGCATGTGTGCAGGGATGTCACCATGGTGATGATGGTTGCTTCCCCTAGGACCCAACAGAGAGCTGCAGACCGTGAGACAAGCCATGATTGACTTCCTGCAGAACCACACAGATGCAGACAGGCCTCCTGCCTGCCCAGCTTTGGACCCTGTTCGGTGCGTAGATCTGTAAACAGGTTAGGAGTTGAATTTAGTTCTGCAGAACGAAGATGTGCATTAAGTGGAATGGGCCCTGGTGTCTGACGGTCAGCTCACTGCTCTTGAAAGCACTAAAAGCCTCTTTTCCTCCTAAAAGGCCCAGTGACATTCTTTCTCTCATTGACGACCGTGATGGCCGCTATGTGGCTGTTCTGTTTGAGAGCAACGGCTCGTATGTTGGACGAGAGGTACTGTGTCTTTATCCTGTTGGGTCCCAGTACATGGTGGGCGCGGCATGGGGCCTGGGACTAGACTCCTGGGCGGTGAGAACTACAGCAGTTGTGTTATCAAATTGGCTAGTTTATGGAGGAGACAGGTGGGGAGCACATCTCCAAGGGCTGGGGACCTGGGTCTGGGGGTGCTGCTTTACTCCTTGTGCTCTGTTATAAGATTTTTTGTTTATTTTGGGGGGGCACTATTTTCTGAACTTTCAGCTTTTTAGCCAAATCCCAGGTTCTGTAAAACATGTTTTTATCTCTCGTGGGACTCAGCTCTCCTCAGCCATTGTGTGTGCTCTGCAGCTCTGCCTTTGCCTGTCGTGGTGAGATCCCGGGACCAGAGAGATGTTGGCCAGGGTGGTTGGCAGCAGTTCCTTAGCTCCGAGTATTGGAGCCGAGCCCTCAGCTTCTTCCCTCTGCCCCCTGCCGAGCTGGCTGTTTATCTGTGAGATCTGGGAACAGGGCAGAGACCAGAGCCCGGCTGCTGTCTGGGGATACTGCTGGCCTCCCAAGGGCAGGGCTCATGCCTCGGGCACAGGAAGGGGACAGCTCTGCTGGGGGGGGTGGCCCCACATGTGCAGTGGTGGGAGGGCCCTTGTCTGATGGCCAGTTGGGTGGAGGACGTGCTGGCTCCAGGGTCACTGCCAGGCATTTCCTCTGACAGCCTGAGATTCAGAACCAGGTTGTAGTTTCTGCCGTGGTATACGTCTCATCCAGTTGCCTTAACGTGCAGTAGAAGTTAAGCTGTCAGTGATGGCTGGTTATAGAGACAGGTGCAGACTCTTTATTCCTGGTGGCGTCGTTTCTGATTTCTGTAAGCAGGCCATTCACTGGTATGACACCTCCTGAGGACACCGCCTCCACAGGTGACGCATTCTCTCCCTGTCCAGGTGATTCTGGATCTGATTCCTTACGAGAACATCGTGGTGAAGAGAGCACTGGACACGGACCGAGCCTTCCTGGAGAAACTTGGCGCTTCTTCTGTTCCTTCCTGTTACTTGATTTACCCAAATGGGTCCCACGGGTTCATTAACATGTAAGCGTAGTTTGGCTAAAGGACTTTTTGCAGTGGTGGTGACATCTGGGAACCCCTCTAGGTGGGAGCTCACTCGGGGCCAGACATGGTCCATTCTGTGTTGGTGGGGCAAGCATGCCCCCTTTCTCCAGATGAGCAGTGGGCACAGGTGAACTCCGGGCCCCCGTCCCCTCCCAGTCCACTCTCCTTGCTGAGACCACAGAAACCAGAACATCGTTTGCCTCTGCACTGGGTGCCTGGGGCCCAAGATAAACCCAACTTGTAAAAGGGTGGGAAAGGTCGTAGGTGAGGGATTAGGTCACATCCCAAAGCCTGTGCTGTCTGCCGGGTCCCCCCCTTTTAGTGGTGAAAAAGGCCTGCCCTGCCGGGTGATCACCACAGGCTGGGGTAGCAGTGAGGAGACAGGACGCTTCCTTCCCTCAAGGGGCTTCTGCTTCACTGGCTGGAAAGTGTAACTGGGCACCAAGGGTGCCCTCCCCAACATACCACAGTTCCTAAGGTGTATTTCTGTTCTTAACAAAAGAGTCGGAATTCAGGGTTGTAAGTTCTCTATGGAGTTAGGCCATCTTGTATCATGCTCTGCAGTCCAGCTTGTTAGGATGCTCTAAGCACCTGGGCCTGCACACCTGAGGCACCTCGCCCTGTAGCAGACGCCGCCGGGGCCAGGGTCAAAGCCCAGAACTGCCCTCGACAGCTTCCCTGAACACTTCCATTTTGTTTAGAAGAAAAATGATTGATTTATGTTGAAAGTGTTATCTGTACAATTTAGCACATAACGATGATATTTTTACCTGCACACTTTGGATGATCTCTGAGCTACTAGATGTGCTCAGTACAGCCTTTATATCCTCGGAGCGTATCCCACCCTGTCCACTTGAGGGGCCATGTGCACAGCAGGCTCAGGGGAGCCAACTGAGGCCATGAAGTCCATAATCATAAAGCTGATAATGACAGATGCTCAGCCAGCTTTACAGACCAACTTGGTGTCCCCACTGAGCAGCTGGTGTTAGGGTTGTGTGTGTTTGTCTTATGTCCTCAGGGGAGGGCCAGCTCCAAGGCCACACCCACAGCCCCTGCAGTCAAGAGTGGAGCAGGGAGGGCAGGGTATAGCTTCTCTCCATTGGGAAGGGGGCCTGATCTCAGTCTGGGACACAGGGTGACTGGGCAGCTCTGGGCTAGTTTTGGGCACTGGCTCAGCCTACACCCACCTGCTCCTTCCTCTCAGTATGAAGCCTCTCCGGTCGTTTTTTTCCTCTTATTTGAAGTCGTTGCCGGATGTGAGAAAAAAATCGCTTTCGTTGCCTGAAAAGCCAAACAAAGAAGAAAATTCTGAAGTTGTGGTGTGGAGAGAGTTTGACAGGCAAGTGCTCCCTTTGGACGTGAGCTGCCTGGGGAGTGAGCACGTGGGGGAGGCCATGGCTGGGACAGAAAGGCTGTGGGGCTCACCTCACTGGCAGCTTGGGTCCACTGGAAAGCCCAGCAGCCACACTGTTGGCTGTTGAGGAACCAGCGAGGTCTCCCTGAGGAGTGGGGGAGTCACGTAAAGAGAAGGTCATTCACACCTGGCTCTGTGACATTTGATCTCAGGTCAAAACTGTACATGGCGGACCTGGAGTCAGGACTGCATTACCTCCTGAGGGTGGAGCTGGCCGCCCACAGGACACTGGCTGGAGCTGAGCTGAAAACACTCAAGGACTTCATTACCATTGTTGCCAAGGTATGTAGGGTCTGCTCTGGACTGGGAGCTTAGCCCATGACCCCTGGGGAACGAAGCCTACCTGAGTGGATAGGCTCTGCCTGCCAACTGTGGGCCTGGTCCTGCTCTGAACACCGGGATGTGGCTTACACAGCCATGCTCTTGTGCAGACACCACCCTGAAGGTGCACTGAGCAGGGGGTCCCAGGGGGATGCAGGTGTGAGGCTAGAAGGGGGAGATCTGAGAGGCACTTGCCAGGTCAGAGGTGAGTGTGGTGGAAACACAGTGGCACTGTGACTCCGTGTGTGGCCAGAACCACTAGCCCGATGACAAGGGGAGTTGGGGAGCAGGGAGCAGGCAGGCAGCTCCCTCAGGGAGGGTGCAGACAGCGCCCCATCCTTGTCCACTGGGGTCTGCTGTGTGGGCCTGAACCTGTGCACTGGGCTGGCCGGTCCTTCACCTTGAGTAGCAGGTAGCGGGGTAGGAGACTCGTGTGTTAGCTCAAGTTTAGTTCCTTCCAAGAGCTCTTATCTCTAAGGCTCCCTGTCTTTTTCTGGCCCAGAACGATTCTGGGGGGCAGAGCAGCGGGAAGCGGGAGGCCATCCCTCAGGTTCCTAGGGACAGACCTGAGCCCTTGTTCTCTTGGCGCAGCAGCCCTGTCTGGACGCGGCCATGGCCCTTCTGCTCTCTGGCCTCTGGAATAGCCTAGCTCAGCCTGCCCCCACCTGCAGTCACAGTGTGCCCGGAACAGGGTCCTTTGTTCCTGCTGCTTCCACAATGGAGACCTAGTGGCCACCACAGCACTGCAGCCAGAATACTTGCTATTATCTAAAGATAAGGAGGCTTCAACTGTAAAAGGTTTTTCTGCCTCACACAAGGTCCCTAAACAGAGCATCACATTCAACACTTTGGGTGGTCAGAGTCCACTTAGGAGGTAGAATTTATATTGAAAGGAGTAACAAGTCACTTAGTATGTTTCAGGTGAATGGAAAGTTGCTTGGACAGGTTTTGATCCCATTGTGGGTTCAGAATTCAGGAATCTCTGGGACGTCCTCAATTCCTCAGAGAAAGCATCCTCCTCGCCTGCCCGTCGCGGGGCTGCTTGGCCTCCTGTGCTGTCTTTCAGTCCAGTGTGACACGGGATCAGCTCTGTGATCAGGGCGTCCATCATCTTAACCATTTCTCTAAAGTTGACTCAAATTTGAAGTTAAATACGCGTGAATTGATAGTGGTGCTGGCCTGTGTCAACATCTAAGGGGTTGTCAGTGCACTGTTCCCACTGCTGTTTCAGCCTCATCATCGTGAGGTTGGCTCAGGGCTGGGAGCCCATTGGCAGCAGCATCTGCACGTCTAACAGCAATGTGCTTGCAGCGCTGGGGTCGCTGGGCTGGGGTTTCTCAGGCCTGGGTGCAACACTCAGCGAACCAGCAGGCTGCACACTTTTGCCTAGAAACCTGAGTGGTGCTGCCCATCCTTTCCAAAGAGTCTAAGTGCAGTGCTTCCTCGCTCAGCTGTTCCCTGGCCGGCCACCCGTCAGGAAGCTGCTGGAGATGCTGCAGGAGTGGCTAGCCAGCCTGCCTCTGGACAGGGTCCCCTACAATGCCATCCTGGACCTGGTCAACAACAAGATGCGGGTGAGCACCCTCCTGGCTCCTGCCGCACTGTCCTCTGTCAGCCCATGACGACTGTATGTCCACTCCCTCCTCTGCCTCTGGTGCTCTCCGCTTCCTGCTGAGTCCTTGAGTCAAGGACAGTTCGTGACAGCCCGCCCTGCGCAGGCAGAGGTGGTTTCTCAAGCATGTGGCACCATGCCTTTTTTCTTTATTTAAATTTTCAGTAAACTGAGTTTTACACCTAAAAATGAATTAAAATGATGTGTTTAGTAAGAGTGTGGAAGCCCTGCTGAGCTGCCTTTCAGGCAGGGTACCCATAGTGAGGGTCTCCGAGAGCCTAATAACGAAGTAAACCCAGGGCCATACTTGCCAGGACGTGGTCATGGTCATGGTTGTGGTCATGATCAGCATGTACCTGGTGTGAGCATGTTGGGAGTTCTTATAGTTTTGATAAGTGTTCCCATGTGTAACTGCCACCAGTCAGGACATTCACCAGCTATTTTTAATTCTAGCAGTTATCTGTTAATTCTTTCCTTTCTTTTCCCAGATTTCTGGAGTATTCCTTACTAATCACATAAAGTGGGTTGGATGTCAGGGAAGCCGACCGGAATTGAGGGGTTACACCTGTTCTCTCTGGAAGTTATTCCACACTCTGACTGTCCGGGCTGGGACCCACCCAGAAGCGTTGGATGACACAGGTAAACTTCCCCACACAGCCAAGGACGCTGTTAGTCCCCCTGACACATATACCATGGTGGCACCTGCCTGGTGCCATCGGAAGCTCAGCAGAGGGTTGGTTGGCTGTAAGGCAGCATATGTCATTGGGTTGATCTGGACTCAGAAGGTCCAAGCCCTGCCGCTGGCCTGCTCCTCACCACACTCAGGAAGGAGCTCTCAGGGCCTCAGCCGGAGGCTCATGGCATCGCTTCTGCCACATCCTATTGGCCAGATAAGTCTCATCCAGCCTTATGTGAGGTGGAGAAGTAGAGTCCCGTGCCGAGGGGCATGTGGCCATCTTCGGAAATTTTTACCACCCATGCTCTCCTCAAGGCAACGCTGGAGTTCTCCTTTTTAGTGGACTTGTGGGGGCAGAGGTGGTGGGCTTTCAAACTTCAAATTCTCTTAAGAATCATACATAAACAAAAGCAGCCTGATTTCAGGAGAAACCTTGAGCTCCTGGACAGAAGGTGAAATCGGAGCACAAGCACAGCCAGGTCTGTGCCAGCCAAGCTGCAGACCCACCTCTGGGCTATGAGCCGCAACCTGGAGGGCTCAAGTTCCCAGGGGTCCTGCCAGGAAGCATGCTCTGAGGGCAGTGTGGTGACGGCTGGGCCAGGTCATCCCCAGGACACTCCACTAAATGGTGCAGAACTGAGGCTGATGTCAGGAGGGCGGGGAGGGCGGAGACAGCACAGTGCACAGATGCCATGGTCTTCCCTGGTGGAGGCCACGTAAATCGCAGCAATACCGGGAGAGCATCTCATGCCGCAGAACTGGGTCAGACGGAGATGCTGGATTATGTCTTGGGAGGTTTTTTCCCTCCTTACTGCACATTTAAACCCCATCGACTAAAAGCCTGTGCATCCCCTAATCCCCCTCAGGTAGAGCTTTGTGGTTCTTGTCCACTTTAAAGATTAGGGAGGTCCAAGTGTGCAGCGCTTTGCTCTGGAGAGAGAAGGGGGATTACTCAGTGACACGTGGCAGATGTCAGCCCAAGGTCTGCTGGCTGCGGGCAAGGGGCCACAGGACAGAGGCCCAGCCCCAAGCGCATGCACATAGTCATCTCGCTGTGGGCGCCACCCGGCTGCCCTGGAAATACTCCGCCTGGGAGAAGCCAGCTCAGCTCACTCCTCTCAGTGAAATAATCAAGGCCGCCAAGGTTAGTGACAGACATTGAAACACCCACCAGGCTCGGCTCACAAGGCTGTGAACATGGGCCGTGGGAGCAGAACCATGACAGGCTTCAGGGCCACACCAGGCTGTGAAGAGGCCACATGCAGGGCCTGCTACTGATTAAGATGGAGTCAGTCTCAAAAGCATGTGTTTTTCCCCCAGTTATTTTGCTGCATGTCTTTTAATGCTGACATTTAATCTGTTTTAATCTCAGTCTCATTCATATGCTCAGTCCCCCGTACTAGTCTGAAGGTGCCTGCTGGACCCAGCCCATGCTGCCTCTGGTTTTCTCAGGGTCCCCGTGTTAGTACCATGCTGGCTGCCGCCTCCCTGTTCTGGGCAGCCGCTGTCCTGAAACATCGCAGTATTTACTTTGGCACCACACAGGGCTGTAATCTGTGTGGCTGGTAGATGCTGCAGAGTTCCCCATGCAGAGGTGCAGTCTTGTTTAGAAGGAGAGCAGGTCCTTGCCACCCTGAGGTTCCCTGAAGGAGCCCTGGCAGCTGACCAGTCCATCACCAGCACCGCCCCCTCAGGAAGACCATTGCAGGGCTGGCAGCAACCCCCAGAGGCACGAGCTAAGGCCATGTTCACACTTGAGCTTGTGTTGTGCAAGGATTTCAAAGCTAAACAAGCACAAATTTAGAGGAGCAGCCACCATGGCCCAGGCACCAGCCTTTGGGGGTCGCTTGTGAAAGCGGGAGAAATAGCACTGGGGCTCAGACCCTCAGCAGACCCCTGGCTCTAGGCCATGAGGCTGGAACCTGGTCGGAGGTGCAGCTTGTCCCCCTGAAAGTCCTTAGAGTCATGTTCATTCTGTGGCTGGACAGGTGCTCGCTCAGCACAGTGCCACAGAGGCCAGGAGTACCTGCTGCAGTAGGCATCTGGGAAGGCACTGGTTCCTTCCTATGTCTGTGCAGACATGTGGGACTGTCCCCTTCTCATGTCAGGTACTCAGTCCGTTCCTGGCTCCCGACACCACCCGGAGCCCTGAGGTTCTCATGGACACAGACACATCTGTGCCTCATCCCACGGTGCCCACAGTGTTTGCTCCTCTGCAGGTTTTGAAGACGACCCCCAGGCAGTGCTGCAGACCATCAGGAGGTACATCCACACCTTCTTTGGGTGTAAGGAGTGTGGTGAGCACTTTGAGGAAATGGCTAAAGAATCCATGGATTCTGTAAAAACCCCAGACCAAGCCATTCTCTGGCTTTGGAAGAAACATAACCTGGTGAACAGCCGCCTGGCAGGTAAGCAGAAGCCACTCAGGTGGCCTGTGCCCGGGTGTCCCTGCCTGCGCCCCATCAAAGCGTATGCTGTGGGCAGCAGCACTGCTCACACAGTGATGGCCTTGGTCCCACTCTGCCTGCCCACCCTGTGCCAGGCTTCCTGCTCCACACTCACAGCTGGGACGCCTGCCCTGGTCAAATGTCAGTTTCATGATGACCTTGCCCAGGAGCTGCCCGGACAATAGACTTTCCTGGGTCTCCTGGGTCCTGCTTTACAGACTGTTCTCTCACTCAGGGGCTCCTAGGCCACATGGTAATTGACGCACATCATTTATCTGCCCTTGAGGAACCCACTCGGGTCCCCAGTAAGATTGGCATTGGAAGACTTAGATTATAATTAATTTTCAGGAAGGAATTTTAGTGTCATTAAAATCTGCTTTCAGACTATAAATCAAACTCCTCAAAATGGCTTTGTTTAAAAACCTAAGTCGGGCACATACGTTTTCTCAGAGTTAAGTAATTCAAACTGCTCCGAAATCAGTGGCAGATTAAAATTAGGCTTAAAAATAATTCCACTGAGAGGTAAATCTTAATAGAGATGAATAGAAAACACCACTAAACTGTTGGTTTTTATTTAATCCACTGTATTATAAAAACATATTACAACTGAAGCACTAAAGAAAATTGGTTTCTCTCTGCACTCAGAGCTGCCTGCTGCGGCTGTGGTCACATGCCCATGGCCCCTTCTGTTTGCTGGGATTTGCTCATCGCTGTCAGTGCAGGTTAAGGCGCCTCCGTGGTGGGTTTGGTACAGGGACTTCTCCATCTGCACCACCCTTGCTGTCTCTGTTCCTCTGCCACCATCGCTCCTCACAAGGTCCCTGGTTATCCTGTCAGCACTGAGCTCTGAAGCAGGCCCACCCCACTCCAGGAGCCCCATGTGCCCCCATGTCACTACCCTGCAGCAGAAACAGGCTTTCTACAGCCCGTGTAACTGTCTCCTAGATCCTGTAGTCCCCCAATCCCACCTCTAGCCTCTGGATTGTGACCCAAATTCCTTGGAAACCCAGAGACCTGACCGGAGCCTCCCTTCCTGCCGGTGTTATGCTGGGATTCTACAGGTCGCCGGAGGGCAGGGCCTGCCTGGGCCACCCATGGTCTGCATCCCCCTCCCAGCCTCTTGTGCAGCGCACAGCCCATGAAGGCTCCTTAACGACTGCCAGAAACACTGTGGATGGATATATTTATCACAGGGAGTTCTGAGGACACAGCCACTGAGAATTGTGTGCGTTTTAATTTTGTAAAGACATTTGCTGCATCACAGAGATTGGGAAGGACCCTGTTGATGGAGCCCCTGGGGCAGGATAGGGAGCAGCTGTGCTTATGTTTCTGCACATGGTGGTTCTTGGCTTTTCCTGGAGGAAACAGGGCTCACTCCCAGATAGTTTTCACAGGGCCTTAAAGGGTATTTAGGGGCCTGGAGGGCCCTGCACGAGCCCCCTGTGCCTGAAGTTATGTGGAAACACTGGGACTGCGAGTGTCCAGGCAGGGGCTCTGGGGTTCTCTGTGGACTGTGGGCTTCAGCTGCACCCTGAGGGAAGCGGACGTGGAGGGGGCATCGAGTAGGGGGCCTCAAGGTCAAAGGCACAAAGGTGAGAACTTGGCACAGACTGTTTGGGAAGTAAAGCAGCTGGGCAGATAGGAGCAGGGTTTGGCCAGGTGAGTAGCAGTGTAGTGTAGCCATGGGGACCCATCCAAGGGTGTAAGGGAAGAAACAATATTTATATAGGGTGCTTTAGGGAAGCGGGCTGCAGCCTGTGCAGGAAAGGTGGGGGTGAGGGGGGTGGGCGTCGTCCAGACCCCACGGGGAGTTTGCAGTGGAGGTGGGTAGGGTGGACAGGGTGGGGACAGGCAGGCACTGGCCTGACCGACTATGGGAGGGAGGCTGCATGGCTATGGCCCTGGGTGGGTGGCAGGTCGAGGGAAAGCCCCTTCACTGCCGCCTCTTTCCCACTCCCAGGCCACCTGAGCGAGGACCCCAGGTTTCCAAAGGTCCCATGGCCCACTCCGGACCTCTGCCCAGCCTGCCATGAGGAAATGAGGGGCCTGGACAGCTGGAATGAAGACCAGGTGCTGCTGTTCCTGAAGAGGCACTATGGCAGTGACAACCTCATCCACACCTACTCTGCGGCCCTGGGAGGTGAGGGTGAGGATGGCCCTGCAGGTGAGGCCCAGGAGCAGGAGGGAGGCCTCGCCAACCCAGGCAGGCCTAGAGACCGCGGGGCCCAGAGCCTGCTGCCCCCCACCCCTCGCCTGTCAGAGAGGCCGCACCAGGGACTGGCCGGCCCTGGCCCCGAGGGCCGCAGGGAGGCTGAGGTGGCCGCGCCCTTTCTGGGGATGGGCTTCTCCAGCCTAGACATGAGCCTCTGTGTCGTGCTCTACGTGGCCTCCTCCTTGTTTCTGATGGTGATGTTCTTTTTCTTCCGAGTGCGATCCAAGCGGTGGAAAGTCCGGCTTTACCACCCATCCGTGTAGAGCTGAACAGGCCTGGGACATGCCTGCAGCTTCCACGTTTCTGATCAGGGATTTATAGACACTCGGACCTGCTCTCACAGGTGGCAGCTTTGGTGTCCGGGCTGGGGACTGTGCACTCCTGGCAGACTCAATGACGCCTTTGACCGATGCATAGCAAAACTACTTCTTTATTTTTACTCTTCTAGGGGGTGGGGATTCCAGGCCAAATGAACAAAATGTTTTGTGCCCACTTTTGTCTCGAGTTTACTGAACTCCATGTCCCTTCCACAAGGCCTTGTCTTGGGATTTGAAGAAAAACTCACCCGGTCCCCCCACTGGGAGGGGGAGGGTGATTAGATGCAGCCATGGACTGGCGCAGAACGGGTACTGGATTTCTGGCTTTGCTGCATTTCAAGAAATAACCCCTGCCATGGGGTGGACCCGGTGGTTGGAAGGGACGGTGGTGGCTCACCATATTCTTCAGGGACAGTGCCTTTGCTTATTGTTTGTCATTCTGGTGATGAGAGAGCTAAGTGAGCGAGGGCCATCCCAGTCTGCCTGTCCTCCCTGGGCAGTTAGGGAAACCTCCGTGAGCTGGAGAGCAGAGCTCTCACCTGGGGCCCTGTGTCACCCAGCACCCACAGCCCCTGCTGAACTAACTGCCCAGAGCCCAGAGTGGGTGGTACACGGGTGGTCTCCCTGGCACCTGTAAGGCCAAACTTTGTCTGCCCTGAAGATGTTTTATGCAGGGCCCTGGCACAGAGCCCATTCCCCAGGCTTTGGTGATTAATTATTTATCATTTAATGATTTTAACACGTTATTTGTAAAACCCAAAGCATTTAGAGGTAAGTGAACACATAAACAAAGTCTGCCCAGGGCGTTTCCATTGAGACCCTTATACAGCAGCTCAGCAGTGTCTGCATCCCTGTGTGTGCCCGTGTCTTCCCCGTGTCTGCCCTCAGTGTCTGCCCCCGTGTTTTCCCCACGTGCCTGTGGCATGTGATAGTGGAAGGTAGTTTTCCCCACTTTGCCTGTTTTGTACTTGTGCTCACTCATTGCAGCTGATTGCGAGTGTTTGTAAGACCACTGTCACACCCATGTCTCTGCTGCAGCGTGGGGGAGGTGGACAGCTGGTGCCTCTAGCACTGTCATTAGCTTGGTGCCCACCTGAGTGGAAGGCGTGGCTGCGGAAGCCAGGAGCCCTGCCCTCTGACCTTTCTGCTTGCTTCTCTGCCACCAGAGGTTTCTTGTTGGTTGATACCTTTTTAACCCCTAGAAGCCTCTGGTTTAAAACTCACATATCGTGTGTGCCTGGGTTATTGAAGACATGATATTGTTTCTTTTCAACTTGAAAACGAACAGATTTACACAGAGTTCAAGGGAAACAGAGTCATTCATTAAGCTGCCTTGGCTCGTGTGGAATGTCTTTTTCTCTGTAAGCTGTGTGCACCATCCTACATCAAAACCCACTTGACAGACAATGTTGGCTTTTAAGGTTCATAGTAATGTTGCAGTTAGAGTTCACCACTGTTTGAGGGACACGTTTATGACGTCAGGAGGGGCAAGGTTTCCAGTAGACTGTTAGTGGTCTGGGAAGTGATGGGCCACGGGGGCCATGGGGGCCACTTGCCTGCAAGTGTGAGCAGTCTTGCCCACCTCACGTGGCCTGCTCATAACTGGATGCTACCTTTAGGTCTCTTTTCTAAAGTTGTAAGTATTGAGACAATGAATATAATAGTTCAGTAATTTAAATGTATTTATTTTTAATGGAAGAATTTTGATTAAAAAGCTATTTGACATGGAAGTGTCAGTGAAATTTCTTACGTGCAAAGAAAGTGAACATTTTGTATTTAAGTAAACTATAATGTGCACATTTTGAAATAAAACTGACATTTGAAAAATTGTAATTCTTTTAAAATGTCAACTAGCAGAGACACTGAGGTGTTGGGAGGGGTGCAGAGCGGAGCTTCCTCCCTCTAAAGTTTATGGACAGCACACCTGGAGCTCTAGAGTTTCTCGGAACCAGAGGCTTTTGGAAGGCAGCCCCAGGGTTGGGTGGAAAGTGAAAGATGGGGATAAATTAAATTATAGATCTTGGGCTGATGTCCTGAGACAGGGCAGCAGCCTTCATTCCACACAGCAGTGATATGTGGGTGGTGACGGGTGCAGATGGACTGCACCGGGGCACACCGGTTTCAGGGCATCTCTCAGGACCCTACCCGCTAGCCACTCAGTCCTGGACATCAGCTTTTCCTAGGCCACCCCTTTGCCATAGAGCCTGAATGCCCTAGCCTTTTGGGGCTGAGTAGCCAGGGCTTTGCCCCTGACACCTGTTTGCTGCCTCAGATCCTGAACAATACAGGTTTCCTCTCCTGCCCCCCTCCAGTAGTCATGTGTGGCTTCAGAGGGAGACCTGTTGGCTGCACTTTCTGTGGCTTCCCTTCCCCCTCCGGGCTGTGTAGAGGCTGGTAGGTAACCCTCCCTGGCTTTGCCCAGGCCCCTCCCCCAGAGAGGACACAGGCAGCCCCTGGTGTGCCAGCTGGGGCAGAGCACGAGGCAACCAGTGGGTATGCCAGCCACCAGCCTGGGTCTGTGTGGTGCTGGTATGGGTGTAGGCTCACCATCAGTGACCCCTGCCCAGGCCCAGGGTCCTGGAGCTCCCTGCCCTTAATTCCTGAGTAGTTTCTGTTGGAGGGCACCCCAGATGCCCTTCCTCTGGGCTGTGTGGCGGTGGGGCTGTGGCCTGAGATATGGGGGAAGTTGAGTGTTGGGGAGGTTGTAAATGCAGAAAGTTCGTCAGGCCAGTAACAGCAGTTCACTTCTGAGCCACATCTGGAGCCAGGGCCTAGTGGGGACCTGGGCTGGAGGCCAACAGGGCCAGAGGGGCCACCCCAGGCTGGAGTCCTGGATGCTCCCTTCCAGAAGGCCCCGTGCAGGAGCATCTGGGTGGAGCACACACTTGCCTCTAATCCCTTGCCTTGAGGCAGCCTGGAGTTCAGGGCGGAGCCGCACCCCAGACGCTGCCCAAGCATGGGATGGGGAGAGGAGGCGGGTCAGGGAACAGAGGGTGTGGGGCGGGGAAAGGGGTGGTAGGATGGCAGGAGGAGGGACGGGGGACCTGGGGAGGCAGGAGGTGAGAGACCAGAGCACGCCTCCTTCAGCACCGTGGACAGTGCCTGCACCCAAAGGCTCCCTGGGCCTGGCAGGGCTGACCTGACAGAGACGGGGGCCTCCAGGCTCCGAACCCACCGGTGTGTCGTGGTGGAGGAGGCAGGAGTGCGGCCCGAGAGGCTTGGCCCTATCCCAGCCCGGTGGCAGCCATGCTGCTAGAAACGGAGTTTGAGCACAACCGAGATAGGCCCGGGGCCCCCGGGGCCTCTGCTGTCTGCACCTTCGTCGGAACTCGGGGTAAGAGCCCCAGCGAGCCTTCGCCCTCCAGCCCGAACAGGAAGGCTGCGGGGAAATGGCAAGGGACGCAGAGGCAGAGGGAGGGATACTTGGGAGGAAGAGGCATCGCACGCAGGGAGGGCAGTGAAGGAAAGAAAGTCTGAGAGACCAAACCTCGAGCAGAAAGGGAGATGGGAACACGGGTGAGGGGAGGCAAGGGGTGGAGGGCCTGGAGCTCTCTGCCACGGTTCAGTGGGTGGGGGGGCCTAGACCCGAGCACCCCAGAACAGAAGGGGCCTTGCAGGCACTGCTGGGCCAAGGGGTGGTACAGATTGGAGGTGCCAAGTTCCTCTAGAGACCCCTCAGCTCCCACACAGCCCAGCCTAGAGCTCCCCAACCAGCCCAACAGCGCAGCACCTAAACCCCTTGACTGGGTCTCCCTCCTGAACCTCCCTTCCCCGTAGCCATTGGATAACACAGAGGGACGAGGGGAGATAATGAAGGCATTGTTGGTGGGCCATCCAGGTTTGGAGCAAGTGGGGCAGCTGCCTCCTCCACCTGGGGCCTGCCTTCCCCTTCCCCTTCCCCAATCAGACCACACATGGCCCCTCTCAGGCAGGCCTCTGCAGCAGCTGATATTCAACACTTAGCACCCACTGGGCTCCAGGGCTTGGGCACCCACTGCCCTGTCCTTCAGGGTGACAGTGCAGTGTGAAGGGCTGCATGCTGGCTGCAGGCGCCTTTGATCAAAACAGACATCACACAGACCTGGGGCTGGAGGCCAGGGGAAAGGGACAAGGGAACACTGGCCTTAGGGTGGGGCTTCCAAGTGGAGACACCTGGAGAACAGCATCGACCTGCTAGTCCCCTAGCACTTCCTGGGGCCCCTGCCCTCTCCAGGTCCCACACTGCAGGGGGCCCACACAGCTGTACTCTGACTGTAGGTGACTGCAGGGGGCTGGCCCTCTGGGCAGGAGCAGCTGCCCTGGGGTAGATTCAGCTCTCTACAGGGTGGGTTCCTGCAGGCTCACCTGTTTGGACTGGGGCAAGATGCTGGAAAATCAGGTGCAGGGGCTGCGTTCTGTGCAAGCCAGGGTGGTGAGGGGTGGAGGGGAGTGAGGGTAGATCCTTGGCCTTCCCAGTTCTCTTCCTCCTGACCTGGAGTCTTGGCTGCATGTCCAGGCCGAGGACATTGGGTTTTCCTCTCAAGACCTGCCCTCCTTCCCTGTGGCCACTCAGAGCAGAAGTTCCAACGGTGGAGTCCAGAAGCTGGCCAGAGCCAGGAGGTCTGAGGTCGCATCTGGCTCCCGGTGGCTTCTCTGACCCTTGGGCGACACACTCACCCTCTCTTGGGGCTTGGGTGTCGTTGGTGGCGACCAGACGTTGTCACTACGGCTTCTAGGTCCCGGCTCGCGAGCCGGAGCGCCAGCGGCCGTGGGACCCAG